TATAAAATCAAATGTTTGTGCAATTATAATCAAATTATTTAGATAATGTATTGTCCAGTAAATCAATGTTAATGTAAGTTTGGAAACGTTAAATTAATAAAACTTCTAGAATTAGTTTAATTTTTAAGTTTTATGGGAACAGACCTGTAATATTTTACGGGCTTGTATAAAAGACCTTTAAGTTTTACAGCAATTTATGAAACAAAATGTCAGATTTGACACATTAATTAAAATCTAGGCTCACTGGATTTCAAATTTCCAGCTCGCCAGTAAAGATTCAATTACAAAGCTTGACACGTAAATAACTATTATTAGGCCGATATCGAACTTTACATATCGGTGAAGAGGATTTTTCTAAAAAATCCTTGTTTTGCTAGCCTATTAAAAATCCATCCACTTGTTGGCCGCAAAACGTCTTTTTAATGAAAAAAAACAGTATTAGTAGATTTTACTGTTGTACTGCAGTTTTGACTCGATAACTCGCCATACAATTATTAGATATTGAAAAGACGTTCACATTAATTATGAACAATGTTCCCGCGATAATGTCAATGACAAGAGAGGAGAATCTTCATTTTTCTGTCATTATTTCCATTATTTAATGTTTTACCACCCATCCTTATTATTCCCAGGACTGTCACGCTTGCTTAATCCGTAAGGAGTGAACGTTAACATTTTAGGTTTTTTTAATTTTGTGGTGTCGCAAGACAATTGTTGTTTTTTCTAAGGTATCACGATTTGCTGGATTAATATAAGGTGCTATAAAATTTTAAATTTTATTATGCGAAATTTCGACACAGTATATACTGGTCAGTAAACCAAAAGTTGCAAACCAGTTTTATGTTACAAACATTCAATTTTCTATTTGTGTCACTTTCTGGGGATTTTTTTTGTACAATTTTGGCAACACGATATGAGGAGCGTCCGCTCAAAACCAAATATGTCCACTCCAGGCGAAAATTCAAGTATAGTGACTAAGTGGTATAGTGGCTAAGATGTTTAAAAAAACACTATTTGTGAAATAAAGAAATACCTAATTTTCAATAATAAAATTTTACTTTAAGTAAAAATAAAGGAAGATTATTAAAAACTTGACCATAAAAGATAATTAGATTTCATTTAGAAACTGGCTGGACATTGGCCGTGTTAGACTTGTACGGAAGATTTCAAAACAGTAATGAACTTGAATCGCGAGAAGAAAACAACATCATCTGAATGCTAAAGAAATACAACAACCTTAATCGATGTTACGTTGTGTTATGCGATTGTACGTAATTTTAGTTAATATTGTTTTCACAAAACCGATTTTTTAGACTTACCTTACCTTAATACTGTATACATTTACTGCAGTTTTTTTAATTAAAATATTTTTAAGAGAGTTCTAAGAAAATAATTATATTTTCTAAAAAGTTTATATTTTTTCGCAAACCGCTTTTAAATTTTTATATATTTTTAGAACAATAACATTGCTATAAAATTGACCTTGAACATACTTTTAAATTTTGTTTATAAATTTTACAAATCACATCAAAATGAACAACGTAATAAAGATTGTAGATCTCATCGAGCCTAACACTTTTTTCAAATAAATATTTTTCATTTGAGCTTAGTTTTTAAATTATTATTATTATTATTTTTGCAATTAAAATCAAATTATTTAGATAATGCATTATTCAGTAAATCAATGTAAATGTAAGTAATGGCTTTGCGACTATTGTTAAATGATTATTGTTAAAAGGAAGTAAATGCAAATTTATATATAATTTATATTTGTCATTTATTTAACATAATTTTTATAACAATTAGGTTAAATAAATGACAAATATTCAATTAAAATACAAATAATTGTTCGTGCTCCACTGAATTAGTCAAAAATGACTAGTTACTACATACAGTTATTAGTGACTGCTTTTTCACTTGTACCATGGTTAACCATAGGATACCATGGTATCCCAAAATTTAACAGCCAATTCTTTATGTAAAATTGTCTCCTACCGTCAAAAATTATGAAAGTAGAGCAGTTTTTGAGATATAGTCAATTCCATATTAAATGAAAAATTGACTATATCTCAAAAACTGTTCTACTTTTATAACTTTTGACGAAATTTTCGGATTCAGGGGACAATTTTACATGGAAATTGACTGCTAAATGTTCGGGATACAAATTGCTATTGACGATAATTATTAATGGCTGCTTTTTCGTTATGACAATTAGTAATTTTTGACTAATTCATTTTTAAGAGAGTATGTAGGGCATGAAAAATATTCTTGGATGCAGTCTATACATAGTATTTTCAAAGAGCTACCTACATACATTGCAAAACTATAGGTAAAGTGCGTCTAGTACGACTCGTGTGTGGGTAGAAGTGGGGATCCCCCGGCTCTGCCGAGTGAAATGTAAATCACGAAGCGCATCATCTCCGATCTTCTTGTTCTTCGTTCGGTAGGAATTCCTTCGTTACGTGGTGAACTTGAAAATCGTTCGAAAGGTCGCGGCGATAGGTCATCTCTTCAACGACCGAACCGAAGCGAACGTTTAAACATTTGTTTTGCTTTAAGCGTTCTCCACAAACAGGCCAGTTCTACACCTTAATAAAAAAACATTTTTTGAAATTCAACTTAATTGCATTACCACAGTTTTGGCCTACCAAACATTTTGGGTCGTAGTGGAGTATGATTTTTATTACCCCTACGACATGTAGGCAACACACATACTTGGACACGTCCTTTGGACGGTAGATGGGGCTGATTACCTCTCACCGCTGTCGCTGCACCTGTTGCTTAAACGAGTATAGCTGTTTAAGTTTAAAATAAGTATCACAATGATTGTTTATTATAATTCTTATAAATGTTAATGTTAATGTCGTTTGTTGGCATCGAACTCATCCTATAGGTGGATCGTGACAATGGGAGTGTAGATTGGAACGGCGTTCACGCGAAGAGGATTTTTTTCTATTAAAACCTTGTTTTGCTAGCCTATTAAAAATCCATCCTCTCAACTTGTTGACCGCAAAACGCCTTTTCAATGGAAAAAATAGTTAAATGATTCTCCCTAAATTTAATGTAAAAGTGTTTTTTACCGTTGTACCGCAGTTTTGACTCGATAATTTACCATGAAATTATTAGATTGCTGGAACAGACGTTCACATTAATTATAAACAATGTTTCCTCGACATTTTCTCGGCGATAATGTCAATGACAAGAGAGGAGAATCTTCATTTTTCTGCTATTATTTCCATTATTTAATGTTTTGCCACCCATCCCTATTATTTCCAGGACTGTCACGCTTGCTTAATCCGTAAGGAGTGAACGTTAACATTTTCGTTTTTTTTTTTAATTTTGTGGTGTCGCAAGACAATTGTTGTTTTTTTCTTTAAGGTATCACGATTTGCTGGATTATTATTAGGTGTTATAAAATTAGTATATTAAATTTTCATGCGATATTTCGACACAAAATATACTGGCCAGGAAATATAACGTTCATGTTACGCGAGTGCAGCACCTGCAGCCGGAAGATAATTCCTCTAGAGTGGAATTCTGCCTGTGGTTGCTGGAGATTTTGGCTCTGGGGTACAGAAGTAGTTGTTTAATTTTTACTTTAAACCATTGGCATCCTGAAGTATGACATTTCATTTTAAACGGTTAGTAAACACCACAGTTTGTGGTAAACACATTTTTATCGTCAAAACTATCAAGAAAAACGTTGTTTTTATTTCCTGTGGCCCACAGGCTGTGGGATACCTTGATAAGTACGACTAATTAAATGATATATTTATTTGAATTTTGCAGCAAATTCATACTCATACTAAATATGAGTATATTAAGTAATATGTTTTTTTATGGAGTCCCATCAATAGAAAAAATATTGTGAAGGATATTTTTTCATTAAAAATTTAATTATAGTTTAAATATTATAATTTGCTATGTTAACATCTACGGGTCGGTTTCTTTATTTTTAATTAAATTATGACCAAAATTACAGTTTTAAATTATTATAATTGGTGCTAAACTTTAATTAACTTATTTTGTTAAAAGGTAAGACCTAATTGAATATACAAAGTATAATTTCTGTGAGTATAAAGTGATTTAGTAAAGAGACTACATTGCCTAATGAGGCTATAATATATTATTTTTAAAATTGTACCCTATTGATTTTTGAAGATATTTAGTTAAAAAAAACAACGTTAAAAAGCATAAAATGGTTTTAAAATTAAAAATGTTACGGATAAAACCAAGACCTAAAATGTTGTTTCTGTAAATCGGGTAAATTTATTCTGAAACTTTATTAGTTTTTAAGTTTTATAAAGTAAATAAAATATTGTGATTCGTCTAAAATCGGGTAGTTTCAATCTGAAATTTGCAGAAGGGACACAATTTAAAAACCCAAAATTTGTACAAAACATTTTTTTAATTGTATACCTAATGAAAAGTGATTCAAATTTACACATAGCGTGTCTTTTCTTTGTAAAGATTTTATACGGTAAAATAATATGTGAATAATAATAACAATATTTTTTTTTAGATTTGTCTTACAAGCAATGCACTTAATAGAGCTTCCTGAAATTTTAGGTATACCTATTTAGAAATGTCCAACTAAAAAGTTTTAAGTTCTACTCTATAAAAATGAATTAGTCAAAAATGACTAATTACTACAGTTGCTTTTTCACTTGTGCCATGGTTAAACATGGGATACCATGGTATTCCAAAATTTAACAGCCAATTCTTATGTAAAACTGTCCCCTGATTCCGAAAATTCCCTATTGACTTTTGTCGACATTTTCGGATTCAGGGGACAATTTTACATGTAAATTGACTAAATGTTTGGGATACAAATTGCTATTGACGAGAATTATTAGTGGCTGCTTTTTCGCTATATGTATATGACAATTAGTCATTTTTGACAAATTTAATTTTAGAGAGTATTTTCTCCATAAAATTGTGGAGGGTAATTGGTATGGAGAGTAATTACTTAAGTTATTTTAAATTTTCTAAATATTTATTTGAACCTAAATATATTACAAAATATTTAAGACAAAACATAAAATATTAGTTAATATAATTAAGGTATAGTATCTCTTCTCAAATTTTTGACCACTGGTTATAGATTCAGATTCGGGGCCTAAAAATAAATAAAAGTTTATTAGAATTATTAATGCACTACATTTTAAATTATTTTTAAAAATTTATACCTACAGCTGTCAAAGAACATACATATATGTCTCAGCCTGGTAACAAATTATGATTTTTTTATATACATTAATTTAAATTATTTAAGTTAACAAAACTGTAATGATTTGTCAGTTAATGAAATATACTTCTGGCTTAACTGTAATATTGTTTACAACAGGAATTCCCAGCCTTTTTTGCGATAAGCCTTTTATGATTAAAAAAAATATATTTTGCCCTTTTAACTTTTTAATTAAACAATAATTATTATTAACCAACCAATCTTGCAGTTACTTTTCTCCCTATTTTATTTGAAAATCTTTTTTAATATATACTTAACACTTACCGCAAAACATTACTATCTGTTCAAGGGAGTCAGGACCATTCCAATGATGTTGTAATAGGTCTTCAATGCAATATTCACTTTGCGAGAGTTTCGTTTTTGTTTCTGTTAAATAAATAGATCCATTTTTTAAAACGTCAAATTCGTCTGTAAAATCACTATGGCCACATTTAATATTACTATATACGATTTTATAATCTAAATATTTTGGCTTTTGTTCAAAACTTTTAAATGCTTGTTTTCTTTTTACACAAATTTGGTCTAACGTAAAGTGTTTATTCGGTGGGCAACATTTCCGTAAGCAAGTACTTAATTTACACGTACAACCGTGCACTTCTGTAAGTCCTTGATCAAAAAATGAAAAGTAATCACCACTGTTGTAGGTTATGTTGTTTTTTTTGTACGCGTTAATGTTTTTATCCCAATCGGTGTCGTTAGATAATTTAGTAGTTAATTCAAATTTACATGGTAATTCCTTACTTTCGACAATAACTACTATAAGTAAAGGTATAAAACAAATAAATGAATAACACCAAACCATGGTCTTGTTTTAAAATTGTAACACAGAATGGCAAAAATCAGGAAAAGGTTTATTATATAATATGTTAATCCAGTGGCGGCTTGTATAAATCTAAGATAACACAACAAATTATTTTAATTATATGTAGTTTAATTAAATTTTCGTCCACTTCCACTTAATAATAAACAACAACATCACCATTTATCTAATTACGCAATGTGTACCGCGTACACGTAAAGAATATCAAATCATACTATTGAGCTGAGTCGCTGAGCCTGTCACAATCTTTTGTTTAATTTTAGCATTTAACGTGGAGGCACACAGTTGCCAAACTTCATATAACATATAAATAAAAATAGAAACTCATAAAATTAAATATTATTCAGATGTTTTATAGATAATATTTTTTTGGAGAAAAATGAGGGGGTACCATGGCTCCGTAACACTACCTCACGAGCCGTCACTGTGTTGATAATAAAAACCACAACTTCAACCAGAGGTTTCCTGTTAATTTTATAATATATTATATATAGATAATATGTTATTTATTATTATATTATTATTATTACATATATGTAATAATTATTGTTTTCACCAAAATTTAGCTTTTTAGTAAATATATACATATTTAATAATCTAGATCAAACAAACCGACACGAACAATTCTGTGTGATATATTGCAATTTAAAATGTTGTTCCACCTTGAGTAATGTGTTACTTTTAACTGGTACAATTTATACAGAAATTTAATATTGCACTACAAAAGTAAAAAGTTCTATAAAATTATATAATATAACAGAAATATTACCTTACCGGTAACTTTTTGCATTCAATCACTTAATTTTTTTAATTGTTTCGTAGACGATTATGTTACAAAATTATTTTAATTTTTAAAACTCTTTTAGCAAATTTATGGATTTAAATTTAAATTTCTTAATAGTTGTGCAAAATTCACCGAGTCAAATTTAGACGGAACATATGAATAATAAAGTATTTAATAATTTACTTACTCAAATTATGAAATTAGTATATTTGTACAATTTCCTAGTTTCTTTTATTTTGTGTAAACAGTGTAAAACGGCTACGGCAATTTGGAATTCATTAGTTTATCGTAGAGATCTTTAAAGATTTTCATCATTTTTGTAATGAAGATATTAGAGGTTTAACGTTAAAAGATCTTCTATCTCTTGAGAGCGTTTTCTACTCAGTTGTATTTGTTTAATTGTATTTAACATTTTAGAAGGGATCATAAATATAAACTAACAAATTTATACTTTTGAAATAAAAAAGTTACTCAATAATCTTAATGGACATCCCACATGCACCTTTAAATAAAATGACAACAAATGTGTAACCCTTCACTCTTCAGATACAAAGGCGTATACTTAATTTTGCCATTAATCTAAAACAAAAAGTGACGTGCAGCCTTGGTTCGTTAGGCTAAAACACAAACTATTATTTTGCAGTTCAGTTGTTAAACTATTTTACCTTTATTACCATTTATTATTTTATAAGACGACTACACGTTGACTTTTGACATTGCAGTGATTTATATGGGTAGAGTTTAATGTAGAGCAATTATTTTGAAAAAAAAATCTTATAAAAGCACCTGTCAAATTTAAGGTCGTCTAAGTAAACAATCGCGCTAGATGTGAGGCAATATTTAATATTAAATAATTAATACGTTTATTTTAAACGATGCTGATTGATGGCGTGGCTATTAATTGTTGTTTGAATTTAAAAAGTTTGTAGCTTATAATTAAAATGTACCATATAAAAATCAATAAAAATAGTTTTTAAACATTTTTAAAACAATACGAATTATTTATAAAACCAATGTGAATTAAAACTATTGCTAAAATGGACAATACAATTAAACTAATTTCCCTTTTATACATTGTAAAATTAGAATTATTTATTTTATTTGATTGAGTTGTAAATGTTCCAATTATTCGCCAGAGGCCACTGTTTTTTTTATTGGTAACCAATGCCTTTAAATAAACTATATTATTGTTAGTCATACTCTTGCTAGTTATAATTGTTTTTACAAAATTGCAATATTTAATTTATATGTATGTGTTTTATAATTTAATTATTTTATTGTATTGTTTCTGGAACTGGTTCACCTTCGAATGATTAAGATTGACGCATTCCTCTTTTTTGTAAAAAAAAAAATCAATAGGAATTACTTTTTTATTTGGAAGAATCAAAAAATTAAATCCAAAAATAAATCTGTTACCTTGTATTTTTTTATACTGTTTATCTATAATAATACCACTTTAAATGTTTAAATATTTATTCAACACAATTTTTTTAAAAAGGCATAAAACATCTATTAAGGTCTAATAATTGAATATAATTATTATATCTCTTTTCCTAAGCGTCTTTTATTATCTCACTGATGAAAAGGCAGCGTTTGTAGTATTCCTTATCTAGGTATAAGATACTAACTCCTAAATAATTTTTTGTTTAAAAAATGGCGAATGCGCCGGGAATAATTAATAAGAAAACCTAAATGCCAAATAATAAATTTCTTAAATTCCAGTAAATTTTATTCGCGCATTCACCATTTTTGCAAAAATCGAACACAAAAGTAATGTCAGATATTTCATGGTATTAAAACAATTTCAGCAGGTGATATTAAGAATTAAGGTTCGCTTTAGATTACGAACCAACAAATAGCAGTTTTACTTTCTATTACATTCTTTGCCTATGCTTACCCACCGCACGGTTGCCGCATACTCCGCCGATAAATCTATTCAATAATTGTTTAATGTTGTATTTGGCAACATCGAAATCATAGCACGCGTCCAACATGAGGCGTGGTAGCGTTAATTTGACAGGAGCGAGGTTAAAGGTGATTTGATTTACGCTTTTTTACATCTCTTGATCGAATTGACCCTGTGCAGGATAATAAGAATATCTCTCTCGAGGCGCCAAACCTTTGTTAATTGCTGTCGATTAATCGTGTTATGTTTAGTTTTTGGAGGCAATTAAATTTAATGGATAATTTTTGTACAAATTGATGTAATAAATCATTTTTGTGTATTGGACTTAACATTTGTATATAAAGCTTTCATTTGAAATGAATGCAACAGTCGGTTATAAAATATTTTTTTTTTAATTCCTAAATCAATTGGAGAAAAAAATTGTGAACTCTATTTAAAATAAAAAAAATAAATATAAAATATAATTTACAAACAATTTGGGGGTGACTTTAAATCTAATATAATTATTAGTTTTTTATTTGTACTGGCAATTTATTAAGCTTTAAAATATAATATATTACATAATATTGGGATTACTTTAGCATATTTTACTTAATAAGTAAAACAATTACATCAAAAATCGTGTAACATTTTAACTCGACAGAATTTCCTACCGACCGACGAGTGCAGAAAGGACCCGTGAGCGAGTTTATTGTTAGATAACAACATCGCAAACATAATCTAATTCTGATCTAAATACGTAATTTAGTGAATTTATTACAGTTCACTCCATTATTTTTAATTTGCCTTTTAATAATGTAAAGGCAAAATATGCTCACGTCTTGTCCTGCAGCCAACTTTTATTAGTTTTATCTTGATTTAATTTACATGACGCGAATTTTGCAGCTGGACAACTGGAGACTTTAAGCAATTTAAATAATACAATAGTAAACAATAGAACCAATGAATCATAAAATACTTTTTCTTTAAATTTGATGGCAGCAGGTTATGTTGATTATACCAACCCTTAAAATGGTTAATCGATATTTTTCGTATCTGTTCTTGCGAAATCTACTGTTTAGGAACAAATGCGTTTATTTATAACTATAGTTTTTACAACTTTATTGCAAATTAAAAGTCTATAAATCTATAAAAGCCTATATGCTTATGAGGTTTTTAATATGAAAATTATTATATGCTTGAAAAAAAATATTATTTTTGACTTGTCGTGTTCGTAGCAAAATCTGCGGTTAATCCCTTTTTTAAATATAAAACACATTTCTCAAGGTATTGATAAATCAATCATTGCGAATTACTTCGTATCGTGGGCATATTAAAATGAAAGACAATTTCACAAAATCGAATTTTGCAACTGAATCGCTTACCATTACATTTAACAAAGCAGGGTGTGCCTCTCTTATTCGATGTGTGTCTCCAAACAAACAGTATATATATATATATATATATATAAATATATATATCGGCTATAGCCGATTAGCCATATTATTATTGTGTACCTACGCCTTGGCGTTTCAGTTGGTACACCTGATCCGAAAAAATACAAATCCAAACCGTATCATTTGGCGTTTCGCAACGTACAACTAAGTTAAAACGTATTTGTATGTTATCACGACAGGTATAACGCTATAGGTAGAGTATTTGGGTCGCGAACTTTACAGAAGACTGATATTGATACGGTAATTTGTTAGATGTAAAATCAAATGTTATTTTGCTTTAAACAAGTATTCTACTAAATATTATTTTATGTGGATTTAAACATATTTAAACCGTTAGTGAACAGGACAAATATTAAATGTGTAATCGTTACATGACCTTTTTTTATTACTCGCTTTATACAAGCTTCACTTGTAACTAATTATGTCAACAATTCTTGGAAGTTGATTTTAACCTACCTTCACCTTACCGATTGAACTAAAATTTTGAACACACTTTTGGTGCTGATGACAATACAATCTTGTATACTCAATATTCTAATTTATTTAAAATGGCGACCGCCATATCATTCACTTTTTGTCCTAATGACATAAATAACCATTATAATATAAAACTCGACCGCATTAGTTCGACTATTTTTTGTATGCTTTCATCATTTTTTCCTGTTTTACCAATTGTTTTATTTTGAGTGTTTATTTGATCCACTTGGCCATTAAAACTAACTATAGTTAGTTTTTATAAAAATTAAGTATTTTATAAAAATTAAAAGTGTCGAAATAAATTAAAAGTACATGCTTCTCAAACAAACGTAACCAAAAAGCGCCCCATGCTTTTTGGTATAGTTATTTTAAGAAGTGAGTTTTTTATTAATTAGCACAAAATATTTGTTTAAATTATTGTTTATGTTTTTATTTATATGCTAAAAATGATCTTTGAAATCCCACAAATCATTTCTGCATCCATGGCCATGGCGTTTAAACTATGGACATGCAAAAAAATAATTTAACTTTTATTAAATAAAACCAATTAAAATAATACCACTAATAACACCTAACCGCATTTATTTCATTATGATTGTTTTCATAAATTAAATTATCATTTTTTTTTT